TTCTCCTGCCCCAGCCTCCTGAGTAGCTGGAATTATAGGTGCACACCACCAAGCCTGACTAATTTTTGTATTTTTAGTAGCCACTGGGTTTGGCCATGTTGGCCAGGCTGGTCTCGAACCCCTGACCTCAGGTGATCCACCTACCTTGGCTTCCCAAAGTGCTGGGATTACAAGTGTGAGCCACTACATCCATCCTGCTGATAGCTTTAGATCGGAGACCAAGATATAAAATCCTCCCATCACATGCCAAGCCCAGGCACATGTAAAACTGTGTGACTTATTGATAACGAATAAAGGGAAAGATGAAGATAAGGTAAGGGGGACTTTGAGGGATACGAAGGTCTTCTTTCAGATGTGGAGTCCTCCCCTCTGACTGAGGGACCTCCTGTCTAAGTCATTATTCCCTTGCCTCCCCACATCTCTCTTTTGGGACTCCAGGTGGCTGTTACCGGTTTTCTTCCCTTCATGACCTGAGTGTGGTTAAATGCCTCTTTGTAAATGTTCTAGGCTCAGCCAGTCAGGCATGCACTTAAACATAGAAATTTTTGGAGAGGTAGTGGGTAGGACAGGTATGGTCATAGGTTACAAATGGGACATAATGGCAAGAAAAAAGTCCACTGTTCAATAATGTTCAATACATGAGACTGATGCTACCAGATTTGTTTTGGGGAATACCTTTCAGAGAATTTTAAATAAATGACTATACAAATGGGATGAGAAGGAAGTTAGAGAGGCATTGGCTTCCCCAGTCTCTTACAGATCTTATAAATAGCCATAACACTATTGCTTACACACTTTCTGCGTGCCACTGTAGTAAATGCTCTATAATAATTATCCCGTATTTAATCTTCAAAACAGTTCTATAAGGTAGCATAATATTATCCCTGTTAGAAACTGCGGTTCATAGAGATAAAGTAGCTTGTTTAAGACTACACGTATGGTGTAAGGTCAGGATTAGAACCCAGACTGCGTGACCCTAGAACCCTTGTCCTTAGTCTATGATGCCGATGGACAGCCTCCATGTATCTCTGCTTGCTGAGAGATACATTGAAGAGATTCATTAAAAATGCCTTTTGCTCCTTTTGGGCTGGGACTTGTGGTAAGAGGGAGAGAGAAGAGAGAAGCCCCATATCAGGGATCCTCCCTTTTTTTAAATGGGGGATGGGATCTGGGTTCCTTCCTACCTAGCGTAGTCCTCTGCTTTAAAACTTCACAAAAGTGGGCAGCTGGCCAAGCTGCATTTTTTAAACACTCCAGGCTGTCTTCTTATCTCCGAGAGACTTGATTTACTTTCTTCTATCTTATCCCAGTCCAGGGCCCCTGTGATGGATTTCACCTTGGGCATTTGCCTTTGGAACAGAATTGCTCCTTGCCAAGAGCACTCCCCTAGAGATAGAGGGAGAAGGAGACAGCTCCATGGTTCCCGTTCTGGGACTGGCCTTTTACCCCCTGCCTCCCACAGCTCAGGTGGCAAGAGGAGGGCCCTGCCCTTACCAGCTGGAGAGCACTGAGTGGGACTGCTGCTTAGCAAATGAAACTGAATTTCTGCAGGTTTGGCCTGGGCCTGCTCTCACTTGAGATGTGTCGGGGAACAGGAGAAGAGATGATGATGGTATAGTAGCATCCACGTAGTGTTAATACTTTCCTCTTTGTTATGACTATTCATCTTTTCAAATTTAATCTTCACAGCAAGTAAATGAAACAGCTTTTGTGTTCCCTTCTCACAGATCAGGAAACTGAGGCTCAGTAGGGCTAGGATGACACAGATGTGGAGGAAGGGCTCGGTTTCCAGCCTGTCTTCTGACATTCAATCTGTGTGTCTTTCATGATGCATCAAGGAGTAGCGCGTCTCCCCCATGACTTCCCTTCACTCTTCTTTCTTCAAAAGAAAGAAAATCTGAGTGTGGCTCAGATTAGGGCAGCTCATCCTTTTGCAATGGTGGATGCCAAGGGAGGGAGTTGAGCCTGCAGGAAGGGGTGTCATCCTGAGCCAAGATCAGGATCTACAGTAGGCAGACTTGAAGTGGGAGGTCACATTTACAAGGGAGAGGGTGGCCAGCCATCCCCCCTTTCTGTGATTGGAAGAGGAGAGCAGTGAAACAGTCTCTCCACAAAGCATTGTGACATGGTTTGTCTGTGTCTCCACCCAAATCTCTTCTTGAATTGTAGCTCCCATAATTCCCACCTTGTGGGAGGTAATTGAATCATGGGGGAAGGTGTTTCTTGTGCTGTTCTCATGATAGCGAGTAAGTCTCCTGAGATCTGATGGCTTTATAAAGGGAGTTCCCCTACACAAGCTCCCTTGCCTGCCACCACTTAAGACATGACTTTGTCATTCACCTTCCTCCATGATTGTGAGGGCTCCCCAGCCACGTGGAACTGTGAGTCATTAAACCTCTTTCCTTTATAAATTACCCAGTCTCCGGTATGTCTTTATTAACAACGTGAGAACAGACTAATACACATTGAAATCTTCAGTGATCATCACACTCTGAGTAACACACAGTCACATAAGACCAGAACTGAAGAGAAAGGAAAGCAAGTAGTATTTTTAAGTTCTCCTGTGAAAATCAAATTTTGTTTGATTTTCATAACAGCCTTATAAGGTGGGCTTTGTTATCCTCATTTCAGAGGAAGCTGAGGCCCAGAAAGATGATGTAATTTGCCTGTGGTCTCATTGCTGATAAATTGTGGAGCTATAATTCAAAGCCCAGTCATCTGCCCTACATCTGTTAGTAAACTAGAAGCCAATCTTTCACATCTCTACTGGAGGGTAGGGAGGTCTCTCTTCCAGAACACAGAACAGTGCCTTACAGACTGTAGCTTAACTTGGTAACTTCCTAACCTACCCTGCACACATTCTGAAGATGTAATAGGGCCATAGGTTGAGTTAGCAGTAGGAGTTCAGGGTGTTGGTCAGAAAGAACTCCAGAAGCTCCTCTGTGGCTGCATGTCAGTCTTTTTTTTTTTTTTTTTTTTGAGACGGAATCTTGCTGTCACCCAGGCTGGAGTGCAGTGGCAGGATCTTAGCTCACTGCAACCTCCACCTCCCAGGTTCAAACAATTCTCCTGCCTCAGCCTCCAGAAAGCTGGGATTACAGGAATGTGCCACCACACCCAGCTAATCTTTTTAGTATTTTTAAATAGATACAGGGTTTCACCATATTTGCCAGGATAGTCTCGATCTCCTGACCTCAGGTGATCCACCTGCCTCGGCCTCCCAAAGTGCTGGGATTACAGGCGTGAAGGAGTCTCACTCTGTCACCCAGGCTACAATGCAACAGTGCAGTCTTAGCTCACTGCAACCTCCGCCTCCCGAGTTCAAGCGATTCTCCTGCTTCAGCCTCCCAAGTAGCTAGGATTACAGGTATGCGCCACCACACCCAGCTAATTTTTGTATTATTAGTAAAGACAGGGTTTCACCATGTTGTCTAGGCTGGTCTCGAACTCCTGACTCAGGTGATCCGCCCACTTCAGCCTCTCAAAGTACTGGCATTACAGGCATGAGCCACTGCTCCCAGCCATCAGTCTTTAAAATCAGTCGTTAAAAACAGGCACTGTGCCGTCTTTACTTTTGAGTTCCTGGTGCCTGACAAATAGTATGGGCTCAAAAAAAGGTAAGCTACTGACCTGAGCTGAGGAGACCTTAAAGTTCAGATATGAGAACTTCAAAATCATAGAAGTTATAATTACAGACTGGCCTAAAGGATATAAATTCACTGGGCACAACCCAATGAAAAATAACAAGGCAAGGGGAATTGGGGAGTTGGATGGAAGGCCTGGAAGTAGCTGCTACAGAATGTGCATCTGTGGAGATTCAGGAGACCCGGGTTCTAGTCCCAGCTCTGCCATTTACCAGCTGGGGGATCTTGGGCATTTGCTTCCTCCCTGTGAGCCTCAGTTCACTTATTTGTAAAGGAAGGATGGGGGCCATATTCTAAGATCCTTTCAATTTCAACATTCTGGGAGTTTTGAATCATTAACCTCCCTAAACACCCTCCCACATTCCTGGGGAAAAGATAAAGAAGGTTTTTTGTTTTGTTTCTTTTTTAAAAAGCTTATTTTTTAAAAAAATTGACAAGTAAAAATTATGCCTATTTATGACATGTAACTTGATGTTTTTATATATATGACAGGCAGCATGGCTAATTCAAACTCTTGAACATATGTATTGTTTCACATCCTTATTTAATGGTGGTAAGAACACATAAAATCTACTCTCTGAGCAATTTTAAAATATAAGCTATATTTTTATGAACTGTAGTTGCCCTGATGTACAATAGGTCTCCTGAATATATTCCTCCTGTCTAACTGAAGTTTTGTGTTCTTTGATCAATATCTCCTCAATTTCCCAGCCCGGCAGTCTCTGGGATCCACCATTTTACTCTGTTTCTATGAGTTAGGACTTTCTTACACTCCACCTATAAGTGAGACCATCCAGTCTTTATCTTTCTATCCCTGGCTTATTACATTTAACGTAATGCCCTCCAGGTTCATCTGAGAAGGTTGTTTCTAGAAACAGAAAAGAGCTTCACCCCCAACCAGGGTGACAGGAGCAGTCCTACCTACAAGCCAGACATCGACTTGATGGCATGAGCCAGAACTGTTCAAGTGTGAGGGTGTTGCTGGTTTGAAAGTGGACATGGTCCCCCATTTCTAAACCTCAGGCTCTCTGGACAATGCAACTCAGCCTTCAGAACCACCAGAGAGGCTGCAGTGTGTGGAGGCAGCTCATTCTGGAGCAGGAAGGAGAGCAGAGAAACCACCATCCTATGGGTCATTCTCGGATCCCCTGTGTGCTGGCCGTCTCCCACCCAGGCTCAGTTTGCACTGCTAATCTGTTATGTCTTTCTTGGTAATTTAGCACTTTCAGACAGTTATGGTTAGATTCTGTTTATTTTTCTAAACCTCACAAAAACCCCATAATACAGCAAAGAGTGGGAGGGGGAGTTTTTCTAGAAATATAAACTCAAGATTCAAATGCTCTTTCCCATCTGCAGGACAGCTGTTGTGGAGCCCGGTCCATCCTGAGCACTCCAGCGTTCCATTTCAAGGATCTCTTCCTGGCTCCCCTCCCACCATCATTCCTTTGAGAGAATGTGGCCCCGAGATCAAGGCAGGGAGAGCTGCCAGCTACTGCCACCTGACACAAAGCCTCATCACCCTTGTGTATTTCTCTCCCCTCTCCATTCTCGCCATGGAGTCACAATGTGGGTCATTCTTTCCTTTCACCAAAGGATGAGCAGGGGAAGAGAGGGCTGGAAAAAGAGACCTCTCCCTTTGCTGACTGATTAGGAAGAAGTGTGGGGTCCAAGTGGGCCCACCCCTTGCCTAATTTTTGCCCAATTTTTTGGCCCCTGGAGTCCCTGGTAGACTTCTTATCTTCTTGCGCACAAGGTTACTGTGTGTCTAATTGCTCAGCTCCAGTTAGAGTGGCGGAGGGAAATTGGCGTTAATGAATGAATGAATGAATCGATGGATGGTTTACTGACAGCTTGGAGAATCAACTAGGGTTTGAGCAAGAACCAGAAAGAGAAGGCCAACATCTTTTAGCTTACCAAATACTTTCATGCCCCTTGGGAAGAAGAAAAATGGACATGGGAGAGGCAGAGCATGGAAGAGTTTAAATTGAGCATAAAGGACGTAAAACTAGATAAGTAAGATCAGAAGATAAAAGATGAGTAATCATCAAATCCAAACCTTTACATTTTCAGCAGAGGCTGCCAAAACCTCAAGGGGAAGTGACTTCTTTAAAATCACAGAACCAGAGTGACTTGGGTCTTTTGACTCTTTTTTTTGGACCCTGATAAAATGTTGCTCTTTTCTTCTCCATATTTTCATACTTTCCAACTAATTTATTCCAGGAAAGTACCTGCCCTCTAACCTGGGGTTCCTCCTTTTTTGGCCTAAAGAAGTTATCCAAACTTACCTTGAGTTTACTGTCCTTGAGGCCATTTTGGCCTTTGTTTTGTGGCCTCAAGGCTGCCCTCACTTAGAAAGGTTGTAGCAGAAGCCAGCCAAGCAGGGCCAGTTTCACCCCAGGCTGGCCCCATTAAAGGTTTGGTTTGGGTTCTTACCAGGGTGCACAAGTCTTGTTTCCTAGAAGTTTGGTCCAGTGGTCTGCAGTCCTGGGAATGTATGCTGTCTCAAACAGTGGTTTTCAGACCCTGCCTGATGATCCAGGGACTGGAACTGAACACACATTTTACCCTTTTATAGCAACTTGGGTGTCCCAAATAGGACCCATCACTTCCAAGTCCCAGTCTAGGATTTTCTAAACAAGTATGTAGTTAGAGGAAAATTTAATCCACATGTATCTGACTCACTGATCTCTAAATCATCCTGAAGTTTGATTCTGGGAATGGTTTGATGTGTACTCTGCTTTTTTTCAACTTTTGGATCAGTACACTGGCCAAGAAATAATAAATAGCAACCCTGAGAGAGAAAAGGAAGCTTCAAGTAGAGGCACGAACTGGAGCCTCTTCCCCTAGTCCCAGCTGGAGACAGGTGCCCAACAGGAGCAGTGAGTAGGCCACAAGCCCAGAATTACGCCTTGGGTTAACCTCACCCTCAGCCTCCTCTTCTGGGATGCAGAGCCCAACTGGGGAAAAATCACTCAGCCCAGAAGACGGTGACACCACAGGTTTATGGCATCTGATCTTTGTTACACCCTCCAGGGTACACACTAATCCCCGCTTGTGATTCCTACTGTCATCCAAGGTCATTCCAGTCCATTTCCACTCTTCTGGAGATCCCAAACACTCTTTCTCAACAATTTCTCATTTTGAAAAGAAAAAGGAGTCCATCAGTAAAGAATTTCCTCCATTGCCTGGGATGCTCTACAAACCTCCATGCCTGAGCAACCCCCTTTTCCACGAGGCCCAGTTCTGCCTCCTCTGCTCCCTCTCCAGGCTGGTTCCTAAGATCCCTCCCCAGTAATTCTGCTGCATGAAAACCTCAGAGTCTCAGAGTCTGTTTCTGCTGATGCAAGCTAAGAGTGTTTCAGGAAGAGGGGCACGTCATTGAGATCCCATTTCTTCCTGTGTTCTCTGGGACCTTGCTCCACTATCCTCTCTTTTGCCTTGAGTTTTTTCTGAATCTTTAAGCGCCACCTCTCCTTAGCATATATACTCATTCAAGTATTTCCCATACTAAAAAACAAAATTAAACCTTCCACCTGAAGTCTCTATTACACCTTGTGTCTTCTCCTTTAGTCAAGCTTCTCACAAGTGTCCCCTGGGTTTTCTCCCTTCATGTCACATTGACTCCACAACCCATTGTAGTCTGGCATGCACTGTCATCGCAGAAATACCCACTGTGGGTTGGGCACGGGGGCTCATGCTTGTAATCCCAGCACTTTGGGAGGCCAAGGCAGGATCACCTGAGATCAGGAGTTCAAGACCAGCCTGGCCAACATAGTGAAACCCTGTCTCTACAAAAATTAGCTAGGTATGATGGCAGGTGCCTATAATCCCAGCTACTCAGGAGGCTGAGGGGGGAGAATCACTTGAACCCTGGAGGCAGAGGTTGCAGTGAGCTGAGATCACACCATTGCACTCCAGCCTGGGTGACACAGTGAGACTCTGTCTCAAAAAAAGAAAAAAAGAAAAAAAAAAGAAATGCCTCTGTGAAGTCACCGGGGACCATCTGTAGTCACATTTCAGTCTTTCGGTCTTTTCTTTACTGGACTTGTCAACAGTATTTGACATCATCGACCTTTCCCGTAATCCTGACATGCTTCGCTCCTTTGTGCTGTGTGACACTGCTCTTTCCTGGATCTCTTCCTACGACTGTGTAAGATTCTTTCCAGTCTTCTTCACAGGTCCTCTTTTCTCCGGTAGATGTACACACATTGGCTGGGATTTCCCATAGCTTTCTGTGGCTATCCAATGCTGCCTTCTCTCCTCCCTCTGCACATTCCCCACTTCCGGCTAAGCTACACCCTCAGGCCCATGACCCCAGATCTGCATGTCCAGCCAAGGACTTTATACTGAGCTCCACCTTAAGTTCTCTGAGACCAAAGCAGGACTCTCGCTTCGCTCTGACTCTGCTCACATTTCTGAAGACCCCGTCCTGGAGAAGGGTGTTAACATTCCCGAGGCCCTGTGCCTCATTCTTAACACCCAGTCTCTTGCCAGATTTCCTGCTTCAGCATCCATCTGCTCTAATCCAGCCCCATTTGGACTTCCTTAGTTCAGGCTCTCACTTCTTGCTAGCCTCCCAACTGGTTTCCCTTCAGCCATTCCTGACCATAGCTGATCCACACTACCCAGAGCAGCAAGAGCGGTCTTTTTATGAAACAAACTTGTCCATCACTCCCTTACTTAAAATTCTTTAGTGGCTTCTCATCACTCAGGGTAAAATCTGAATTATTTAACATAGTATAAAACAATCCTTTATGCTCTGGTCCCATCTGTCAGCCCAGCCTCATTTCTCCTCCCAAGCTCTCTCCTTTAAGCCACAGCAGCACTGCAGCTCACTGTTTGAACTCCCAGAACACAGCAGGCTTTCTTGTGACTCGGTTTTTTTCTTGAGTCTTTGCACTTGCTCCTGCTTCTACCCACACTGCTCTTTCTCCACTTGTCTACCGGAAAACCTCCTATTCAGCTTTCCAGGCTCAACTCCTGTCTTGTCTCCTCCTGGAGGCCTTCCCTGATTTTTCAAGGCAAATTTGAATGCTGTTTTCCCCACCTCCCCCTTCTGCATTCTGTACCTGCCTCCACTGCTAATGAGCATACTGACCTGTGATCGCTCATTGGAAGTAGGAGCCTCTGCCCACCCCTGGAAGCCTTGACCTGCTGAAAGCACCTTTTCATCTTTGTACCTTCTATACAAAGTATAAGACCTGGCATATAATAAGCACTCAATAAACTTTATTTATTTATTTATTTTTGAGATGGAGTCTCCCTCTGTCGCCCAGGCTGGAGTGCAATGGCGCAATCTTGGCTCACTGCAACCTGCGCCTCCCAGGTTTAAGTGATTCTCCTGCCTCAGCCTCCTGAGTAACTGGGATTACAGGTGCATGCCAAGGCACCTGGCTTATTTTTGTGTTTTTAGTAGAGACGGGTTTTCACCATGTTGGCCAGGCTGTTCTCAAACTCCTGACCTCAGGTGATCCACACACCTCGGCCTCTCAAAGTGCTGGGATTGCAGGCATGACCCACTGTGCCCAGCCTACACTCAATAAACTTTTTGTTGTTGTTTTTGACAGAACAGAGTTTCGTTCTGTCCCCTAGGCTGGAGCACAGTGGCACAATCTCAGCTCACTGCAACCTCTGCCTCCTGGGTTCAAGCGACTCTCCTGCCTCAGCCTCCTGAGTAGCTGGGATTGCAGGCGTGCACCACCACACCTGGCTAATTTTTTGTTTTTTTAGTAGAGACAGGGTTTCACCATGTTGGCCAGGCTGGTCTCGAACTCCTGACCTCGTAATCCACCTGCCTTGGCCTCCCAAAGTGCTGGGATTACAGGCATGAGCCACTGTGCCCGGCCTAATTTTAATATTTTTTAGTAGAGATGGGGTTTCATCATGTTGGCCAGGCTGGTCTCAATGAATGTTAAATTAGTAATCATGTCTAGCTTTTGTGGAGCACTTTCAACAGGGCCAGGCCAAGTGCTGAAGTGTTTTAACATCCCTTACATCACTGAGTTCACACGTTCACCACTACCAGATGAGGTAGGTGTCATTATCCCTATTTTAAAGATGAGAAAACTGAGACTTTCAGAGGCTAAGTAACTCTCCCGAGCTAGTAAGTGGCACAGAAGAGCCTTGAACCGTTCTTTTCCCCACGAGCACAAGCTGCTGTTTGCAGTCAGTCCACAGGTAGTTGCAATGTGGCGAGTTCTGCGCCTGCTCTAAGGAACTGCCTTGCACACAGTCTGTCACACCCCAGGCCATTTAGTGCTTCCCTCTACCTGTCAACCCAGGCCTTGAGGCCTGCACTTGGCACACAAAATTTAGGCATTCCCTCTTCAGCCAGTCTTTGGTCCCCTGTCAAAGTCTTTTCTTGTGGCTAGGGTCCCGCAGTTGCTGCCCAGACCCTTCCTAGATTTGCTGCCCGATGTCCTGGTCTCTTGGCTGTGAGTTCGGCTTCCTGTCCACGCAGAGTCACAGCAGCACTCTGTAATGTGATTTCCCAGCCTTGTCTAGCCAGTAGTTGGTTGTGAGCCTTTAGTTCTGAGAAGCAGCCTGGTCCACAGCCTCGGCTCTGAGCTGACAGCTTCCTGTGCAGCCCCAGCACTCTCAGCCTGCCAGTCCCCTGCCCCAGTGTCCTCCTGGCCCTGAATGTCGAGTCCTCTCTCACACGAACGGCAGCTCAGGGCCAGACAGCCAGAGAAGATAGAGAGGTGAGGGGACACATAGAAAGGCCCACAGTGTCTCCCAGGGAGGGACGTGCGGCTCTCCGGAAGTCCAGGAGAGACTGTGTCCTCAGGGTCCTCCCCCCAACACCTGCCACCTGTGTGCCTCGCAGCCACCAGCCTGCTTTATGAGCTTTCTTCTTCGTCGTTGTATTTGAATACAAAGATGACCTTGTTTTACTCACCAATATTTTGTTTTCTTTTAAAAAATATATATTTTAATAGTTTTTGGGGTACAGGTAGTTTTTGGTTACATGGATGAGTTCTTTAGTGGTGATTTCTGAGATTTTGCTGCACCTGCCACCTGAGCAATGTACACTGTACCCAATGTATGGTCTTTCATCCCTCACCCCCTTCCCAGCCTTTCCTGCAAGTCCCCAAGTCCCTTCTATCATTCCTATGCCTTTGCGTCCCCATAGCTTAGCTCTCACTTGTAAGTGAGAACATACGGTTTGGTTTTCCATCCTGTGTTATCTCACTTAGAATAATGGTCTCCAGCTCCATCCAAGTTGATGCAAAGGCCATTATTTCGTTCCGTTTTATGGCTGAGTAGTAATCTATGGTGGATATATACCACATTTTCTTTCTTT